TGTAGCTGTTTTTGTAGCCTGTGGCTTTAAATGCAAATGAGCTGCTTCTCCCCGCCCACTGCTCCCACATGTGTCTGTTACATCAGATAAACAGCAGTCAGTGACAGATACAGACACAGATGAAGCTGAAATACCATGCTGAAGTTTACTTTTATTACAGCCGTTAAGTCTTACAGCGTTTTTATTTATTTATTTTTATATATAAAATTTTTACTCTCTTTATTACAAACATTCTCTGTTTTGAAAATGTTTTAAACTATTTAAAATGTTATAAATATTTTAATCTCTGTTTATTTTCTAAAAATGTGCTGGACATGTGTATACATGTTATTATAGAAACATGACACCTGCCTATCAATTCAGTGGGCTGGGAATACCGCACTCCTACGTCACGTTCTAATGGACCTCGGAATCTCTGGGATTTGGGTCCTATTTATTCAGTAACTTTCTTATTAATTAAACTTTCTATCACTCCAATATGTCTGTGGACACACTATATCTACACTAGGGAAGCACTGATACCATTTTTTTGCAACCAATCTGATCTCGATACCAACATTCGGAAAATTGACCGATACAGATCCGATCCCGATACTGTGACGTTTTTTTTTTTTTTTTTTTTTTTTTTTTTTTTTTTTTTTAAGTAATACAAAAAAGTAATACAGTTTAGTTCTGGTGATAAACTCAAATAATATATATACTTTAGTAAAAATAACCCATAAGCCTACTGTATATGACAGATGGCACAATCTAACTAAACATGATGCTTACTATAAACGGTCTCACTTTACAATAAGGTTCATTAGTTAATGTTAATTAATGCATTTACTAACATGAACAAACAATGAACAATACATTTACTACAGTTTTTATTAATGTTAGTTAACATTAGTTAATGAAAATACATTAATTCATTGTTAGTTCATGATAACTCATGGTGCATTAACTAATGTTAACAAGCACAGACTTGGATGTTAATAATGCATTAGTAAATGTTCAATTATGATTGATAAATGCTGTACATGTGTTGTTCATGATTAGTTCATGTTAGTAAATGCATTAATTAATGAACCTTATTGTAAAGTGTTACCCTATAAACTATAGACTACATTATTTGAGCATTCATTATGACACTGAAATGATTTGATGTGGTCCAGCTTATGCTTCCTTTTTAATATTACGATTTTTCTTTGAAATCTGTATTAGGCTACTCCAGGGGCGTTGCTAGGGTCGAAAGGGATGAGGGGCTTAGCCCCAAAGAAGTTGCCTCACCCACCCAACATTGACATTGCATGTTACAATAGAATATAACTAATAATAAGCTAGATGCATAAACTCACTGTGATTTAACTATTACAGAAACAGATGTGACTTGCTATATCATATAAATGTCTACATATCTATATCATATCTAGAAAGCTAGTACAATTTGCGTTTTTTGACTAACTTTTTTACATTGATATGATGCACATTTTACTGATTATAGTTATTTTATTTCACCAAAACTACACACATTTTATACTGTGGAAACAAATAAGCTTCATCAGTTGTTAAAACTATTCAGTTTCGCGAAAGAGTTGTATTATTACCTCATTAGCTTCAGCTCCTCAAAATAATGAATGAATGATGTGCAGTGGTGGGATTTTTTTAACACCATGTGACAACAGAGCCACTCCCACCTGCCGGTAGAAACAGATACTGCTGAACAGCTGACGATTTAATTACCCGACACAAAAGCTGCCTTAAGTGGAATGTTCGTGATGTATGTGGTAATTTTCAGTACTTAGATAACAAAATAAATGTTATACAACATATTTTTTATTTAAGTGCAACATATTCCAAGAGATCAGGGGCTTTTGACAATACATCAGGGGCTTAAGCCCCCAAAGCCCCCCCCTCGCAACGCCACTGGGCTACTCTAATCGTTGGTAAAATAACCAGCCTTTTAGCAAAGTCTGATATTTTCCCGCAGGTTTGCAGCAGCACATTAAACTGTAAAATGGCTACAGAGCATTTGGAATAATAGTAGGCCTACATGACAACTTTTCTAGTGCCTTTTATTAGGCTACCTTCTTGGCTTTTGTTGGCTTATAAATTACACAGAATGTAGCGCACGCACAAGATTGGATTTGGATCAGTACCAGCTAACCAACTATGGAAGGTAAATCCTGCCAATTTTAAATAAATCAAATAAACATTGGAAATGGAAATGAAAATCAGATTAACAATTTCATTTTAAAACACTGTTTGCTAAATATCTGCCAAAATTGAAAATGAAATTAAATTATTTCATTTTTATTTTCATTTTCACAACACATCGTCCCTGTCAAATTGAAAATTAAAATGAAGTTGCCGATTTAACATTTCATTTTCACTGCATTTCCGCATCAAGACTGCCAATATTAAAATGAAAAGCCAAACTGAAAAATAAAATGCAAACACAATTTTTACAAAGCGTGTTATTAATGTTCACGCTATAATAGTGACACAATTCAAATGAAAATGTAAATTTAAGCTTTCCTTTTATTTTTCATTTCATTTTCAACTTCAAGCTGCATGCAAAGCCTATGCTAATCAGTGGGAGGGGCGTATTCGAGTGATGTCGAGTGCTTTCACACACAGAGCCGGAGGGCAGAAGCACGGTTTTGATGGATGGGACAGCGTGAGTTACTAGTGTAAATACAGTATAACAGAAGTAAAATGGCAAAAACTGTTAGTCAGCTTTTACGTGAAGCAGCTGCTGCATTGGTAGAGCAAGAGGAACACGGGACACAGGAGAACCAAACGTCAAACTTCCGTCCCGCAGCAGGAGTCGCGGGCTTCCTCGGTGGGCAGAGAAACTGCAGCGTAAGTGCGGTAGGCCTTGTGATGAAGTCGTATTGTATATACTATATTAGGTCTTGTGACGTTAATAACTTGTTAGTCCTAAAATCATTGAAAGACAGCTAAATCAGCTCGGTAAAGTTGGTTTTATGTTTGATATTCGCCACAGTCATGCACGCAGTGTTAGGGATCATCTGCAAATTACACCGACAGAACCAAAACAAAAATCTCTCCTGTAGTCAGTTTAGTCCCTAGAAATGTGGTAAAAATTTATTTTGTTATTGTGGTAAGAGTTATTTTGGGAGTATCCAGTGGAGTATCATAACTAAAGCCTTAATATATTACATAAAAAGTAATAAATTACTAAATAAAAACGGAATAAATGCAGATTTACACATTTACTCAAGGAAATAAACAGAATTAATAATGGGCTAAAAAATCTGCAGAAATCTGTGGAATTCTGCGAGCGCAGATTCCGTGTGGGCCTACCGATATCCGATCCAAGAATTGGGACCGGTGCATCCCTAATCTACAGACAGTTCTGTCCAAACAACTTACAAAAGATGATTTTCATCATAGGTGCCCTTTAACCATTGAGATAGGCCTGTGCGAAAGAGTTTCTGGCTTTTATATGGAGTTCTGTGGAGTAAAACAGCAGATTATAGTGTGTGGGCAGACAGAGTTACTGTGTTCTGAGAGCTGACGGGCTTATTTTGATTTTCTCATGGCTCGTTTCCACTGACTGGTACAGTACGGTACGGTTCAAGTCAGTACGCTTCACCTTTATCAGGCTTGCGTTTCCACCACAAAGGGTAGCCTTTTTGGTCAGTGTGGTGCATGACAAAGTTTAAATTGACGTCATGCTCGCTTGAATAAATGTCTATAGTAAGGCTGTACGGGTCGTATACATATCATAATGAGCAGCACTTCTCACAAAACAGACGCTTTATACACATAAATACTTGTTTATAAATGTTTATTACTAGCTTTTCTATGGACATGATTTGATTATAACTGCAGATTAATGACAGTGTGAAATAGGCTACTGTAACGTCTGCAATTATATATAATAAATACATAAATGCAACATATATGAACACATACAGACCCTTACAGTCTCCGATATATTATTAATTACAGAAAAACTACACACATCATACATTTAGTCCTTATTTGAGTTTAAAAGCACACGCAATATAGCCCAGAGTCAGCGCAAACCTCTCATCTGTGTCTGTAATCTTCCCCAGCCCATGCAAACTCTGTTAGAGAGTCTTTGTCATTCCCAGTTCATAATAGTCCAAAAGGCAAAGATAACAATGGCAGTTTGTTCATGATTCAGGTTGTTAAACACTTTTGCTCCTGTGTTTCTAGTTGGGGGTTTTTTCCGCGCTTTACTCTCGCGCTTGTCCTTTTCTTTCTGAATGGATCAGATGACGGAGACACTTCTACAGTCACGTAACGTTACATTTTATTATCATGAGCTCAAGAAGTTTGTTATATCAATTATAGACGCGATCGCGCGCTCCCGGAAGAAAGCGAATACCGCTCGCACTTTTAGACGGGTTCGTAAAGCAACAACAGGACACGGCAGATTTTGTTCTTCTTTGCATTGTGTCTGTTCATCAAGACGATGACACGGTTTGTTTGAGCCTGGCAGTTGTCATCCATGGCTGGTTATTTTATGCATACAGTAACGTTATATCCATGTAATCTCTCGGCTGTGTATTAGAACATGGCGGATCCTTTGTTTACATTCTGTCTAGCTCCACAAGCTCGTGACGTATCTCTGTAACCAATCAGCGTTCGGCTGCGCGTGTAGCTCCACCTTTTGGTACCCTTTCTCGTTTTTGGGACCCTTTCGAAAGGGTGCCGAAGAAGTGGAACGGTACGGTTTGGTTCGGTACGCTTATTGACAGTGGAAACGGCCATAGAAGCGTACCAAACCGTACCGTAGCACTCAGTGGAAACAGGCCATTAGACATTCAGTATCAAGATGAGTGCACAAAGGTGTCTCTCTTCCTCTTGCTCACACTATATTTATAAAGCCATATAAATGGCAAAAGCTAAGCTTTTTTTGCATGGTAACTGATGATCAACAGTAAAAATGACCCATTGTCCCTCTTCCCAACAGGGAAAACCAGCAGCAATGAAGAATGCATGCTGTGATGGCTTTGCAGTCGTAAAATGTGATTATAATGGAAGTCAATATAACAAAAACAGCCACCAACTTAACCAAAAGAGAGTCAATTTGCCAAGATTGTGTTGAGCTTTTGACAATTTTCAAAGCATTTTCCCAAAATATGTCGACAGATTCATCACCAAAAATCATCCCATTTGAGAAAGTTGTGCATGCGCATGTACAAACACAAAAACACATGCATGCGTTTGTGTGTGTCTGTGTGCATATATGTTTGCAAGCTTGTGTGTGCATGTGTTTTTGGTTATGCATGCGTTTGTGTGTGTCTGTGTGCATATATGTTTGCAAGCTTGTGTGTGCATGTGTTTTTGGTTATGCATGCGTTTGTGTGTGTCTGTGTGCATATATGTTTGCAAGCTTGTGTGTGCATGTGTTTTTGGTTATGCATGCGTTTGTGTGTGTCTGTGTGCATATATGTTTGCAAGCTTGTGTGTGCATGTGTTTTTGGATATGCATGCGTTTGTGTGTGTCTGTGTGCATATATGTTTGCAAGCTTGTGTGTGCATGTGTTTTTGGTTATGCATGCGTTTGTGTGTCTGTGTGCATATATGTTTGCAAGCTTGTGTGTGCATGTGTTTTTGGTTATGCATGCGTTTGTGTGTGTCTGTGTGCATATATGTTTGCAAGCTTGTGTGTGCATGTGTTTTTGGTTATGCATGCGTTTGTGTGTGTCTGTGTGCATATATGTTTGCAAGCTTGTGTGTGCATGTGTTTTTGGTTATGCATGCGTTTGTGTGTGTCTGTGTGCATATATGTTTGCAAGCTTGTGTGTGCATGTGTTTTTGGTTATGCATGCGTTTGTGTGTCTGTGTGCATATATGTTTGCAAGCTTGTGTGTGCATGTGTTTTTGGTTATGCATGCGTTTGTGTGTGTCTGTGTGCATATATGTTTGCAAGCTTGTGTGTGCATGTGTTTTTGGTTATGCATGCATTTGTGTGTTTGTATGCATATATGTTTGCAAGCTTGTGTGTGCATGTGTTTTTGGATATGCATGCGTTTGTGTGTGTCTGTGTGCATATATGTTTGCAAGCTTGTGTGTGCATGTGTTTTTGGTTATGCATGCGTTTGTGTGTCTGTGTGCATATATGTTTGCAAGCTTGTGTGTGCATGTGTTTTTGGTTATGCATGCGTTTGTGTGTGTCTGTGTGCATATATGTTTGCAAGCTTGTGTGTGCATGTGTTTTTGGTTATGCATGCGTTTGTGTGTGTCTGTGTGCATATATGTTTGCAAGCTTGTGTGTGCATGTGTTTTTGGTTATGCATGCGTTTGTGTGTGTCTGTGTGCATATATGTTTGCAAGCTTGTGTGTGCATGTGTTTTTGGTTATGCATGCGTTTGTGTGTGTCTGTATGCATATATGTTTGCAAGCTTGTGTGTGCATGTGTTTTTGGTTATGCATGCGTTTGTGTGTGTCTGTGTGCATATATGTTTGCAAGCTTGTGTGTGCATGTGTTTTTGGTTATGCATGCGTTTGTGTGTGTCTGTGTGCATATATGTTTGCAAGCTTGTGTGTGCATGTGTTTTTGGTTATGCATGCATTTGTGTGCGTGCACCAGCTTGCGTGAGTGCATTTATGCGTGTGTGTTTTTGGTTATGCATGCATGCATGTGTGTGTGTTGGGATGTTTTTTGTGTGTGTGTGTGTGTGTCTGTACATGTGTTTACACATGTTTGTTTGATGTGTGTATGTCTGTAATTATATAATGTGGACCCACTGCTCTTTCTATATTTTTATATAATGTCTACTTATGCCCTGCACCTGAAGCAGTGGTCTCTGATCACATGCTCTTACAAATATAGTTGTCATTGGTATTAACTTGGCGTTTCAGCCAATCAGAGCGAGTCTGTGTGTGTGATGTGCTCTGTGTTGTGTTTATGTGCAGGCACCAATAATGCGCGTTTGGCAGCGATGCTCAGACAGCTGGCGCAGTACCACGCCAAAGACCCCAACAACCTCTTCATGGTCCGACTCGCACAGGTGAGCACAAACACAGCCTTGTCTCATCATTAACACGGCCATGTGATCTTATGAATATGCGCACATTTGCTGGTGCCAATAGGAAGATTTAGAGGTTTGAAACCCATCAGCTGCTGTTGTCTGAGCTGCTAATGAGCGCTGTGATTATCTGGGCTGAAATGAACAACAGACACTTGTAAACATTCATTGACTTTGTGAATTATTAAAGTAGGAGACTCTGCTAGTTACTATTTAAGGATTTATGTTAAGGGGAAAAAAAAGTAAATAGTAAAAAAAAAGTAATTAAAACTATAGTCTAAATCTGAAAGAAAGAAATTGTTATTGCTCAATGCTACATTTAGCACTTAACTATACATTTCGGCACATATCCATACATTTCTCCACAGCCCAGGCGTGTCTCCTTATTGACTAGTAACACTCTATCTTAAAGGGCCATGAAACCCCCTCGGTTCAGCAGGGTGTTTTCACACCTCTACTTTGGAAAAACGGAGGAAGAAAAGAGGAATGGTGTGGGAGTGTCTATTTGGGCACGCGCTGAGTTTCAGAGTCAAAACACACACACACACACACACACACACAGGGGAGAAAGTGACTGTGTTTACATGGACATCTGTAGTCAAATTCTTTGCCAAATTATTAAATGGTGGACTTTAACTGCAGTTTGGCTCTTTCATTCAGGGAATTCATTCATGCCCCTCACGACAAACAAGATATTTGATTCGAGGAGCTGCTCTAAGTGTGTATTTTCATGCAGTGTTTGATACCGCACGGCGAATGAGAGAAAAAAAACCCTCCACATTTCCCAGAAACTTAGATGCACTCGGCAGGTAGCGTCAGAAAGCCGCGTGTGTTATTCCGGTCACTAAATGCGGTGAAAATCCTACACGAGGTTAAAGTTTGGTTTTTGTGCTAACATGTGTACACTCGGTGCAATAGTTAACTTAGTTCGATACGAAAAAACTGAATAAACAAAGAGCACTGGTCGCTCACTTACCAAATCTGTAGAGACCGAACAATCACCAGCAACTAGAGCCGCGTCTTTATTAAGAGGAGACTACAAGCGAATCCAGATCTCAGCGTTTGCAGATGAGAACAGCTCTCAGGTAAACAATAATCCTCCTTAGACACGTAAGTTATTGTTGTCGAGCGTCACGTACACTGTTAATCCACATGTGACTCCAGCTGCGCTCTCACAGAGAGAAAATGAAAACAAAACTTAACTGCAGCAAACTATAAAAGCAACACTTCACGCTTGTTTTGCCAACACAACGTGGCGTCTCTGTCGTCTAAACACTGTGACAGTAATGAATATTAATGAAGTTGCACAATAGAGCGCGCTGATTGGTTTGAACCAAGCCTTACTCATGCATTAATGCAGCACACTGTAAGACGTAATAAGACTCACTCTGGCACAGACGTCCAGTCTGCACGCTGGAATACACGCTATTATGTCATGACCGTGACGCAGCTTCAAAAATTTGTTTCAAACAGGAAGTACAAATTTGCTTGAAATAACGCAAAAACAACCAATTTACACTTTTTAGTGAAATATAGGTGTCCTAATAGTGTTTATAGCAGTGTGGGACACATATACGACTGTCAACAGCTCAAAACATGTGTTCTGGTGTTTCGTGACTCTTTAAATATCTGCCCTAATTGTGCAATATAAGTTGTCAAATGTTTTCCAGAAGCATGGAGAGTTGACAAAAGCTATTGTTGCTAGTTAATAACATTGATCTGTCTGTCCATCAGGGTCTGACTCACCTGGGTAAAGGCACGCTGACGCTCTGCCCGTATCACAGTGACCGGCAGCTCATGAGTCAAGTGGCTGTCGCCGGGCTGCTCACCGTCCTCGTGTCCTTCCTGGACGTCAAAAACCGTAAGAGCCTCAGTCCTGCAGACACACACCCTCTGTCCGTAAACACACGGCTCATGTTAATAATCCTCACTTGCAGTGATCCTGGGGAAGTCTCATTATATCCTGTACGGTCTGGTGGCGGCGATGCAGCCTCGTATGCTGGTCACGTTTGATGAGGAGCTCAGACCGCTACCGGTGTCCGTCCGGGTTGGACAGGTGAGTGTTCATTGTGCAGACATGGGATATACTACTGGTGAAATTATGGATGTATATGTGACAAATATATATATACATATATATATTAGGGATGTAACGGTATTGTAAATACCGTCATACCGCAATATTAATTTTTTTCGATATTACCGTAGTCGCATGACTCGGTAAAACTATAGGTCTTCTGAGAAAATTTGCTCAGGCGAATGAAGCGAACGGGAGGTACCGGAAACTACAATTCCCATCAGCCCATGCTTGACCATCATCCCTTGCGGTCTGTTGTCGCTACAGATCCAGTTATGCGGAAATGGAGTGTGCTGCTAGAAGCGTGGATGAAAAAGAGCAGGAAAACTCTAAAGCGGGTGTTGTCGCCACGCGCGTACTGAATAGCGGTGTTGTCAGCACACTGTTCAGATTGATGCAGACATGAGACCTCTATCTTACTCATGGTTTGTCCTCTCAAGTGGGGGAAAGACAATGCACAACGTTACCCACTGCTGTCAACCTGGACCAAGTCATATCTCTGTCCCAGAATCCTCAGTCCCAAATGAGAGGGTTTTTTCTGTTGCAGGGGACATTGTAAATCCCCAGAGATACCAGCTTTTACCAGATTATATTTATATGATAATTTTCCTTTAAACCCATCTCTATCTAAGTGAGTGAGTGATTAATGTTAAATGTGACGAGTTTTCAACACTACTAAATTGAATCTTAATTTTTTTACATGGTTTAATATTTATTTGTTATTAAAATTGAAGTTCCTGTTTCAAAGCTTACAGATAGACAGCTAATTTGTATGTCATTGACACTTTTGGCACTTTTATTATTATTAGTATTTTCATAAGTTTTGTTTTTTCCTGTAAATGATTCAATAAATACCGTACCGTGACATTCATACCGAGTTATTACCATACCGTGAAATTCTGATACC